TAATTTTAAAAGTATTTAATTCGAAACACAGCTTGTAATATTTGGTTTTAATTCGGCTTTTATCGGGGTTTATTTTCTGTATTTTTGTATTTTGTAATTTTTTGTATTTTGTGTTTACTATTTGTTTTTAATATGCTGTGAACCGCCCTGAGTCCTATGGGAGAAGGGCGGTATACAAATTAAAATAATAATAAAATAATAAATAATAATAACTACCTAAAAGACTACAGTAGTTTATTTTTTTTCCCCAAAAAAATATCTGCTCTTAAAATGTTCTGAAGAACCTGGGAAAGGAAAACCATAGGAAGGTATGGTATAGAATGATAGAAGAAAAATTGGGTAGATTCTAAGCCTCCAATGAAGAGACTAGAATGCATTTGAAGTTATATGTTATGTGTTTTGTCTTGTTCACAATTGTTTCTATCATCTGTTTCCAAGAATTTTCTCCAGGTTATGTCATTCTTTCTAAGGCAAATCTTCTCCTTTCTATAAATGGGAAATCTGAAGAATTTATATAAATGGCTTGGAAACATAAAGACACTATATTTTCTGAGAAAAAAACAATTTAAAAGTTCAAGAATATGTTGAATGGAGGTTCAGGCTCTTGGTGAATAACTGAAAAAAAGTATCTTTGCTGCAGAATGCGGAAATACCATATTTCAACATAAAGATTTTTCTCCTGAGTTTCTCCATTGATCTTTCTTGCATCTTGGGCAGATTCACTGAAATTTAAAATTCACATCTCCAAGCTTCTATTTTCAACAACAAAAAAGAACAATTCAAAAAAAACCAAAAACTTTTGGGCTGTGAGTGAAAAGAACATGATTCTCTAGCTTGGAAGACTTTAAGAATCTTGTTTAGCACCATAGCTCACCAAGAGCACTTTCTGAACCCTGAAATATTTCCAGAAAGAAAATCTCAGAATTTTTTAGTTTTTGCTAATCGTCTCCCACAGAAATCTGATTTTTCCAGAGAGGACTATTGTATGAATGGGGTGTGAAAATCAAACAGACTGGACTGAATTTGTCCTCTTGGGCGTTCCATTTCCTCAACAGCTCTATATTCCCTTATTCCTCTTATTTCTCCTTGTCTATTTACTCTCAATCATTGGGAATATTCTGATCCTATTGACTGTAGCATCTAAATATAACTTACAGAAACCAATGTATTTTTTTCTCTGCAACTTAGCTGTCATGGATATTTCAGTATCCACCATAGTGGTCCCAAAGGTGATGGGTGGGTTTGTGGAAGGAGGACAAGTTATTTCTTTTGGAGGCTGTCTGACCCAGCTCTTCTTCTACCACTTTGTGAGTTGTTCGGAATTCTTTCTGTATACTGTCATGGCCTATGACCGCTTCCTGGCCATCTGCAAGCCTCTTCATTACAACATCCTGATGAATCACAGAATGTGCCTTTGTCTTTCCTTGGGCACGTGGTTTGGTGGATGTGTGCATTCCATCATGGTTACTTCATTGTCCTACAGCTTGCCTTATGGACTCAAGAATGAAGTGAACTTCATTGTTTGTGAAATTCTTTCCCTGTTGAAATTGGCATGTTCAGACACGTGGTTCCAGGAGATATTTACCTTGGTTGATATTGGCTTAGTAGCGATCATCTGTGTCTTCCTCATTGCAATATCATACGTGTATATTGTCACTGCCATTCTCAGAATCCCCTCAGCTGAAGGACGACAACGGGCATTCTCTACTTGTTCCTCCCACCTCATTGTGGTGATAATCTGCTATGTGCCTCCAGCTTTTAATTATTTGAGAACAGGGACTCAGGATCTTCTAAGTGGGGTTATGGCTCTTTTTTATACCACCTGGACTCCGTTCCTTAATCCACTCATTTATACATTAAGGAACAAGGAGATGAAAGATTCCATGCTGAGCCTAAGTTATAGGATTAGGAAATTCTAACAGCATGCAGACTAAGCTAGATTAGACCTCCAAAGATTCAAGAGAGGTTTTCTGGAAGGGTTTTCTTTTCTAAAACTATTATTAAATTACAGAGAAGATGAATACGGATCAAATTGTAAAATGCATG